TATTCCAAGCTCACTTAATACACGGCCCTGTGAATGGCTCTTGAATCAAGTATTCTTTCCTCTCCGCCTTCATCCCACCATGATACCCAAGAGTCTCAAAGGTGTAAAAGACATCCTCAGACTTTCTCTGGTTCTCACTCTACCTACGTCAGCTGCTGAGACGGTGAAGCTAAAGGCTGAGGACAAACACTCTGCAGCCCTTTGTGAGCCTGGGAGCAGGTAGGATATAGATTCATCTGGATGCAACCAATCAGCAGACAGCTGAATCTCAATCCTGCTCTATGGAAGCTTCTGGCTCCAGAGAAGAAGCTGGCATACACTCTGCAAAACCTCAACAAACAGGGCGCCCACATCCAAGCAAGGCATGCTAGATAACTTCAGTTGTCAACTTGACACACCTAGGGAGAGGGAACCTCAGTTGAGGAACTGTCCCCATTCGATTGGCCTGTGATCATGTCTATGAGGCACTTTCTTGATTGTTGAGTGGTATGGGAGGGGCCAGTCCACTGTGGGCCATGCCACCCCTGCACAGAGGTCCTGAGCTGAATAAGAAAACAGGCTGAGCATGGGCCAGGAGAGCAAGTCAGTAAGCAGCGTTCCTCCATGGTCTTTGCTCCAGGTTTCTACCCTGAGTGCCTACCTTGGTCTCCCTTGATGATGGACGGTGTGTAAGCCAAACAAACCCTTTCTTCTCCAAGTTGGTTTTGGTCAGTGTTTTTTTTTTTTAATATTTTATCTATTATTTTTATTTTATGTGTATGAGTGTATTGCCTGCATGTGTGTAAGTGCACTTGTGTCATGCAATGTCTGTGGAGGTCAGAAGAAGGTGTTGGATTCCTTGGAACTGGTTGTTAGCCACCATATGAGTGCTGGGAATTGAATCTAGGTCTTCTGTAAGAGCAGTCGGTGCTCTTAACCACTGGGGCATCTCTCCAGGCCTTTATCAATGTTTTTATCACAGCAACAGAAAATAACTAGGACATAGGTTTCCTCTGTGCTCTTTTGCACCCATGCCTGAACCAAAAAGGCATTTGTGGAAATCACAGAAGGAAAAGCCCTCCCTTCAACCCAGAGATATACAAAGGCCACTTTCCAATGGGCACTGGCGGTCAGTAGACACAAGGTGTCCTTCTCTGGTTGGCTGATGTTGGTGTCATTTACCACACTTTGCACACAGGTAGGCAGGTGTCTACACTGTGTTCAATCCTGACCTTGAATGGTGGAGAGTGAGTAGAGAGATGCCACAGGCTACCTATATCTCTTTTCTCAACCATCAATGTGCATAAAATGTCCCCAAAATTTCATGGTTACTTGAAAAAGATGGCAAAGGATTTCTTCTTCGTTATTAAAAACAAAACAAACTTTTTACCCCAGAAAAAACAATGTAAATTGAAAAATCCATCTTAGGTAAGTTCAGGGCAGGCTAGTAAACATCAAGAAGGAAAAAAAAAAAAAAAAGAAGAAGAGCCAAGGAGATGGTTCAGCCTCCAGGGCCCATGTAAAGAAAAGCCAAGCATGGGGCGCACACTTGGAATCCCAGCACTGAGGAGCTGGAGACAGGTGGTGGGCTCACTGCTGCCCAGCATGGCCTGACCTGTCTTTTTAAAAAAGGGCAGGGGTGCCTGAAAAATCAGGTTCTGTGGTTGTCATCTGGCTTCCATAGACACCCACGTGTATGTGCACACACCATAAAAAACAACAGGAATAAACAAACTTTTCCTGTTTTAGAAAGGACAGTGATCAATGGAATGCGTGGAGAGAGAGGCTGTGTGCGGGAAGGGTAAGAGTCAGGGCAGGGAGGAGCAAAACCTGGACTTCACCTGCATCAGGCAGGAGCCTGAGCTAGAGCAAAACTTGCAGCCTGTCCTCCTGAGTGCCTGAGAGCACCCTCCAGACGTTTGATTATAGGCTCACCTGTCGCCAGGTAAAGGCATGCTTGGCATCCCTGTGGTATTCACTCTGTCATTAACCTATCTGCAGGCCTTTGTGGAGCTTTTTCCTCTTTTATCCCAATACCCGATAAGCATCCCCTCCTCCCCCAAGGGGCTGTGCTTTGGGAAGTCCTTCAGGAAGAACCAGTAACACTCTCTCTGACATCTCCGAAGAACTAAGGTACATGGACATCCCTTCAATCAATTAATGTCCCATATTTATTTATCCAGAGAGTCTGGTACTTACCCACTTCTCTCCTGACCCTGCTGGGATATTTCAAAAAGACACTCAACTAGTCTGGAGCCAGTGGCAAATGTGACAGGCTCTGTCTTACATGTAACTGGCTTAATTTTTATTTTCTTTGATGGTGCTGGGGATTAGACATGCATTCTAGGGAAGCACTCTGCCACTGAGTGACATCCCCAGCCCAAGAAATGTGGTTAAGGCCATGCACTTAGTAAATTATAATGAGTAAAAAGAAAAAGGAACTGAAATGAGGAGGGAGCCTAATTTTTCCTTTGTCTACAACAAGGCATGTGAGAAAAATAGGCAACTTACATGGAGATGGATAATAAAAACAGCCAGTTGGGAAGAGAGGAAGAAAAACACGATGACTACGGTTGTGTCAAAGGGAAAGGGTATGTGCTCTTTAGTGCAAAACAAGGAAGAACACTGTAATAGTTGTAAACATTTTTTCTTAAAAGATGATGAAGAGGCTGACAAGAGGCTCAGCAGGTAAAAGTGCTTGTCATAGATGGGCGTGGTGGCACATGCCTTTAATCCCAGCACTTGGGAGGCAGAGGCAGGTAGATCTTTGTGAGTTCAAGGCCAGCCTGGAGGCCAGACAGCTAGGACCACGGGGAGACCCTATCTCAAAAAGACCAAAAAAAAAAAAAAAAGGTGCTTGTCATGGGGCGAGACCTGTTTGAGTCCCAGGACCCACGTGGTGGAAGGAGAGAACTAGCTCCAGTAAGTTGTCCTCTAACCTACATACACACACACACACACACACACACACACACAGGCACACGCGCACGCATGAACACAAACATAAATTTTTTAAAGGACAATGAAATAATTATGGGAGAATGGCTTAGCTATATTAAATTATAGATTTCACATGTTCCCCTATTAGAAAAATAATCAATTGAGAGGCAATATCATCCCCTTTATTTAAACTCCCTGCACCAGAGTCCCAGTGTGGAGGCTACAGCATGGCCCTGAGGTAACATATGAGGAAGGACACAGGGGAAGGGTTGGCTATTCAGCCTAGAGTCACAGCAGCATCTGGCTAGGTAAGAGTTATCTTAGGATTGGATTCTCCCAGCAACCAGCCAAACAACTTGCCCTAATCACATCCCTGCTTCTCCAGTCCCACAAGTGACAGTGGTGTCAGTCAAAGTAGCAACAGCACTCTTGAGGGCCACAAGAAACTCACCAATTTCTTTGTTTCCCACACTCAGCACAATCTGGCCAGTGACCTGCATTGGCATGCACTCTAGAGGCTATCCTTAGCTCTACAGAAGAAATACCTGCTGGAAGCATGGCTCCAAGGAAGCCAACAAGGACCTTCTCAGCCTGGAGCCTGAGGCCGAGCCGAGAGCTGTCAGATCTCTGTCCAAAACGCTGTTCACCAGACCGTTTCCAGCCCTTCCCAGCACCTTATCAACTAAAAGGACCTTGCTAGCTGAAGCTCCAGGAGAGGCAGTGTGGAGATGAACCCAGAGATATCCCTAAGTACTATATGCCATCACCTGGGGACATATTTAAAATACAGATTCCCAGCCCCATTCAAGATCTCCTGAGTAAAAACCTCTGGGGTTAAGACTAATGAATCTGAAATTTGTTGTTATTGAGACAGGGTCTCCCTGTAGCCCCAGCTGGCCTGGAACTCGCTATATAGACCAGGACAGCCTAGATCTCACAGAAATCTACCTGCCTCTGCCTCCTGAATACTGGGACTAAAGGTATGTGCCACTACGCCAGGCATGAATCTGCAGTTTATTAAGTACCTTGAAGTTCTAAGACGCACCCTAAAATACAGCCAGTGAGCTGACCATTGCATGCGTTATTTCAAAAACAATAATTATAACCACCTTATTGGACTCAAGTTTCAAATCCTTTCCTAAATATTTTGCACTCACACATCCCTGGCCCTTATAACGTCATGAATAGCCAAAGAAGAAAGAGTCCAGGCACTTCCTGCCCCATCCACCTTCGACAGACTTTGTTTCCTGGTACAGTGACGGTTCTATCATCGGAGAGATGGCTCTGTGGCTAGGAGTGCCTGCTGCTCTTCTAAAAACCAGAGTTCAGTTCCCAGCACCCATGTCAGGTGGCTCACAACCACATGTAACTCCAACTCCAGGGGATCCAATGCCATCTTCTGGCCTCTGTAGGCACTCTCACATACACACATAAATGAAAATAAACCTTAAAAAAAGTAATCTTATCACCAAATCCCTGGCCACACCTATAACCCGTAACACTACCATAATATATGCATACAATGTTATTTTAAGAATCAGAGGGATTCGGTCAAAACCCAGTTTAGAAAGAAATCATGGACCATTTTAAAGTGAGCGCTAGTGGATGTACTGTAGACTGTAGGTTTCTGGCCTTGCCTTAAAACAATAAATCAAAGAACACTAGAATGTCTTTCCTACTAATGGTATAAGCTCCATCTGAATATTCATGCGTGTCTCAAAAAAAAAAAAAAGCAGCAATAGATCACAGGAGACAAAAATGGCTTATTCTTCAAGAACACTGTACCTGAGTTTTGACACACACATAGAGGGCATTGCCTCCAGACCTACTTCCCATCCTGACAATCATACTAATGTCCTTTCTTGTCTTTAAAACTAGACCCCATTCACCGCTCCCAGAGCAGCACCATGACTTGACTCTCCAAGTTCCACACATGTTCACTGAACCTCCACAAAGTGGCAGGTTGGGACCACGTGTGCTGAAAAGGACAAAGGCAGACAGCATCAAAGCAGAGGAGAAGATCCAAGAGCTGGCTGGGTGATGGAGAGGAGTAAGTTTCTTCAAACTCTTTATCTACTTTCTGTTACCTGTCTCCGCAGGGGGATGCGCTTGGTCAGCTTGTGCACAGCCGGCTGGCTGCTGAAATCCGGCTTCTTGGTGGTGGTCTTCATTCGGCACAGGATGACTGTCACCACCATACAGGCAATTAAGAAGACCCCTATGCAGTAAATGGCTATCTCCAGGTAATCTGGGGAAGCTGTGATTTCCTTTTCTCTCACAGGTGCTAGATTGTAGATCACAGGGGAAGAACAGATAAGTTAGGACGCTAGAGAGACACATCACAGCGTAACTCAAGGAATCATTCCAAAGGCAAGATGGGCTTAAGCCCATTGGTAGGTGGATGTTGATGGATACCCAGGCACAGAGCTGCCATGTGTCTCCTGCCTGGGCCTCTCCAAATGTAAATGAATGATCAAGGGCTCCTTGCTTTACCACCATGGTCCAGGCAGTCACCGTCTCCAGCCTCAGTGGGCATCTGCTACCAGGGAGTAGCTGACACCGAGTTACAATGGGAGACCACAAGGTCACATTCCATTAGGCAGCTGGGTTGAGTGGGACTACCAGGTGCAGCCAACATAAACCAAAGGAACATGTCTACTGTTGTTTCTAAGGAGACTGCGACAATGCTGCGGCCTTACTAGGAGAGGTTCTTCAGAGGAAAGCTCAACAAATCCCCCAGAGGACCACATTCATCTAACAGGCTGGCCCAAAATTGTTTTGGTGGGTCCCTTCATATAGCCCAGCATATTGTTCAATTAAATAAATGCTGACCATGACATAGTCCTAGACATAATACAGAACATATATAATATTAATAACCACTAAAATGCTTGCTTTTCTGATATTACAACCTTTAAGAAAAAAAACATAAATAGTACTACATGTGAGTGTATATGTAATTAATTTAGCATCTTCTTCTATCAATGGTGTGGTCCCTCCTCATCCTCAAATGGTCAGTCTACAAGCAGTGTATTTCCAAACATCATTTTCTCAAGCTGCATCCCCTTAACGGGCTAGTACTGTCAGGCAAATTGGTTACAAAATGCCAGTTAGGCACTCACAGAACGCAGCACCGCACGTAAAAGCAAGCTCAACGGAGAGGCATCTCATGGTTTCAGAGCAAATATTCACAGAGCAGATTCGCAACCAAAGGGAAAATGGATGCGATGGTTATTATTCAAAGCTCATACGTTTTAATCGGAAAAACAAATACTTGCAAAGACATAAAACTCGCAGCAGCACAGCACAAAATGAAATGATCAAGTTGCTTTATGATATAAAGGAAGCAGGTAGGCATGGTACTCGAAAAACAAGGAACCTCATCATGAGCTGGCGATCCACAGTCTCTACAGTTTTCCAGAGGTAATGAGAGGCAATGCAGCGTTCGTCAAGACAGTTTGACTAGCACAGAGGCACTGGTTAAAGATAGCGGCAGTGTTTAGGCAACAGGCTTCACTGATGTTTATTTCTCATAGAGCAGAAATAACATCAGGCCCAAGATGGCACAAACATGCTCTGCAGTGAAAGCAAACCGAGTCCACCCTATGGCAACATGCACCAAGCCACCCGATTCCCAAGGTAGGTAACACACTGCTTCTGCACAGCCAGTTACATTCAGAGGTGCCTCCCGGGGCACCCCAATATAGACTTATCTGTTCTCCAATGACAGGTAAGCAAAGTGGCCCAAGCACAATTTAACCACATATGGGATTGTGGCGAAATATAATTTGCAATGGGAAAGAAAAAATAGTACTTTGAATTTCACAAAGTAAATCTAACTCCCTTCTTAAGGGGGGGTGGGGGTGGGGCTAGCTGATCCAAATCTTGATGCCTCACTAAAACTCTAAGACCCCTTTGGGTTTTACAGGTGAAATTTGACTTGATCATAAATATAAGTCTGGGATCTTTTTGTAGGAGAATTTTCCAAGGCAACTTTCTCATCCCTAGGGGATCATTTTAAAGGTTTTTTTTTTTTTTCTTCTTCTTTTTTTAAAAAAATCTTTATGGAATGGATAAAAGGGGCCATTTCTGAGAACAGAAGCTGTGTTAATTTTATAGCAATCAACAAAGGGAAGGGAAAAACCCAAGGAGAGAAGAACAGTATATACCTGGAAGAACTGTCAACCATGCAGAGTGAAAGGAAATCCCAATAGAATTACCCGCCAAGCACGTATACTCCCCAGCATCCTCAAAAGTTACATTCCGAATATAGAGAACCTCAATCTCTTTGTCCGTGGTGTTAACACCGGCGGCCTAGAAAACAAAGGAAGCAAGAACACGCTAGACACAGGAATGATTGTGGAAGGGGCCTTGGAACCACAAGGTTTTGTGCCAGCGGCTCCAGCGGGTGCCGGCCACCAGGAGATTCCGACTGCAGCCCATCCACAAAGCCCACAACCAGACACTGAGCAACACTGGCCAGCTCACCTCCGCAGGCCCGTCACCACACCGGCGTCACCACCTAGACATGCATGCAATTAAATGCATGGAAAAATCAGCCCACAGGGTCCAGTTCTCTTGGACTTTGTTTCCATTTAGATCTGAAGGTGGGTTTCCAAAAGTTTGGTGCCCAGAGGGCTAATTTGGGTTCTGGTCCTGTTGGCTGGCTGCAGACTCCCATTTTGAGTAAAGGTGGGTTCCACCTGCAATGATGTGTGGTGCAACAAAACACAATAGGTGTGCTGAGGTGGATGCCTCACGCATCACTCTGGCTCTATGGGAACCAAATGTGAGGTTATCTTAGTTACTAGGCTCTGGTTAATTTTACTCAGGCAAAAATCATCTTACCTTACAAAGCCTTGGGGAAAAATATGGCAGAAAGCATGATCCTGATAATAGGAAAACAGGACTCTGCTTTCTTTTAAAATATAAATATGTGACTATGACCAGCGACAAGCTAAACCTTAACCTTGGCCTTCAATATCGGCCAGTGGTGCATTCAATAGGTGAGAAATTATCCTCAAGTTTGGGACAGGATCAGGTATAGAGCCAAAACAAAACAAAAATTTTGTTGGATAAATTATCTCAAGTAATTAATATTTCTCTAAAAACCTGGTGTAAGAAGAAATGTGAGTTCTGTTGATAATCAGATACTACGAGTTCAACAGGCATGCAAGCGTGAATTTCACATGGTATTCAAATATACAGTGCATGGGAAACGTGCAGTCCAAACAAGAAAGACCAGAAAGAATGACTTGAAAACTGGGTGCAGGTGGAGGATAATCTTCAAGCACTTTGAACGTTGTGGGCATTTTTCCATGGCCACTGGCACAGTGCCAGCTGCATCAAAGAAAGATCATTATAAATATATCAAGGTCACAAGAGTTATTCTAGCAGCTACCTGCAGCCTCCCAAAGCACCAAGTCTTTTCACCTTCTACATCCAATTTTCTTTAAATAAATAAGAAACCAAAACACAAATACAAAAACATTGTTACCTTGCTGTTTGGGCAGGACAGTGAGCCAGGCAGACTGGTTGGCCTGCCCTATATAATTGGAGACCTTACATACATACTCCCCAGCGTCCGCCTCAGTGACATTGAACAGAGCCAGCACTTCTGCATTGGAACTATTTATCCCCGAGTGCTAGAACAGACATAGGAAAAGGATATAACGGCCAACCCGGAAGGACTCCGTGCTGTCTATGGTCCCGCCACCAACACACCACAAGAAAACAACCTCCATTAATTATGTCTAAAGGGCTGTGGGTTGAAGAGGCACAGAATAAATCAAGGGGTGGTGAAGAACAGAAGTTTTGTGGTGGAGTAAGGTGAAAGAGGGTGATCGACAGCTGCCGGGACGGGTCAGCAGCTCCCAGGCTGCCCATCTTTCTCCAGCACTTTGGATCCTGGGTATTGTTGGCAAGAAAGAACACTGTATTGGTTAAGGTTCTTAGTAAGCCACCTAGAGAGTTCCACGGGAAGACTGTTCTATAAAGACAGGCTTCGTGAGCAACAACACGGGAGACACGGCAGACAGTGGGCTAAGAATTAGTGCAGGCGTAGCTTCCACACATGTTCACCATCCTGAGGAGAAAGCTAACCCTGAAAACTAAAGCAGCTGATGCTACAGAAATGGGAACAGATTTATTTTTTAATGAGAATGGGGCTGGAGAGATGGTTCAATGGTTAAGAGCTGTACTGCTCTTGGAGACCAACTCCAAACTGGGTAACTCACAACCACCTACAACTCCAGCACAAGGGCCTTTCTGGGCTCTGCGGGCACCTGCACTCAGCTGCCCATACCCATACCCATACACACACACATACACATAATTAAAAAATAAAAATAAACCTTCTTTAAAAAGAAAAATAGGAAAGAAATTCTCTTCATTCATTATTTTACGGGTGTAGAAGCACACCCTACAGCCTACTGTCTGCACCATATGTGAATGGGACATAAAAGGTCAGGGAATTTTTGGAAAAAGAAAATCTAAATAGTCTACTAATATTTCATTCTAATGCTATATCAATAGGAAACATCAGAGTAAAATTCAACATTAGTAAACACCGTATCTAAAGCTTTCCAATTCTTCCTATCTACTCCACCCCATTTACTCTGCACACCACCATGTAAATGGTACCACCATCATACCTTTAAAGATGTGCAGGCAAGTCTCTCTAACACCTCCTATAAGACCTCAGGGCTGAAAAACAGCCGAACTGTTCTGACTCCCCATGTAGTAGACCATGCCCTCCCCCATAGCCTCCTTCAGAAACATTATTAGCAGCTCTAATGACTGCTAATCCCTTAACGTACTCTACTAGCCAGTCCATAAACTGAACCATCTTTGAAATCCAACAGGAAATCAAAGAACCTGGCCAAGCCCCCAAGGGGGCCCCAACTGCAGGCCCCTTGGGATTCAGAAGTCCTCACCTTCAGGACCTTGAGGTAGGGCAGCCCATCAGGCCCATATTTACTGCCGTTCTTTTCAACATGTTTGATCCACTGGATGTGGGGCTGGGCATCGCTATAAACTTTGCAGACGAACTCCACGTCGCCTCCAACCACCGTGGAGGCATTTGCAGGCAGTCCAGCTTGGAGGATGGGCCGGTGTGGTGATCGCTCTAATGGAGAGAGGAGAGGCAGGAATGGGAAGAGGAGAGAGTAATAAATAAGTTGTGTTATCCAGAAGGCTGTCGAGGAACTCAAGCCAAAAAGGCCTCCCATCTGCTGGCTGACTCCTTTGGAATAACACAGGGGCCCCAAGCACAATACAAACGACTTCAAAGCAGACCACTGGGGCACAACCCTTGTAGAAAGATACTTATTTAGAGAATCCAGAAAAGAACTTATTATCCTGCAAGTTAAATTCCCTATAATGAACAAGGGAGAAGATTTTATTTTGGCAAGCCAAGAGACAGACGTCAACTAGTAGAAGGATGCTTATTCATGTATTGGGCTTGAGATGGTCCCTAGATTCACTTTAAACACACTCGACATCACAAGTCACCCCAAACACCAAGAGTGGCTCTCCTGAGCACAGGATCGCCTGATCCACTGTTAAGAAGCTCTTGGAAGACTTGCATCCCTTGCTTTAAAAAGTAAACTGGAAACAAAAGACCCAAGTGAGGAGGAAACCAAACTGATTGAATCTATCTCTTGATCATGGTACAGACTCCATGGAGCAATTCTATATTTACCTACTCATTTGAGAAGTACCAAGTATCACTGTGTACTAGGCACTACATGTACAAGTAGATACTCCTTAGTTTATATAGTGCCACAGATATGGTGCTGAGGAAACACAGGGAGATGTCTATTTCCAAGTCCAGGCTAAGTTTTATAGACTCAAAGGAGGCCCCACAGTAGGGATGCTCAGTGATTCCTTTCTAGCCCTCACTTATCCTCTCCCTCTGAAAAGGTTCTCAGCAAAGCAAATCTCTTATCTTATTCACAGAAGCACCTTCTGACAGGGGCTCTCTTAAAGAAATCCCCCAGAGGTACCAGGTCAAGATGTGCTAACACACAGGAGGTCCCCCAAGAACTAGGTAACACCCAAAAGGATGTCTCCAAATAAGATATACAAATGGTCAACAGATTTACAAACATATACATGTATACACGATGCTCTGCATCAGTAATCATTAGGAAAATGCAAATCAAAACCACAATGAGCTATCGCCTCCCATCTGTCAGGAGGATCATTATTAAAAGAATAGTAAGACATGCTACCGGGCATGTGGAAAATGAACCCCTTGCACACACTGCAGGGGGGATATAAAATTATAAAATGATCACTTCAAAGTATGCTTTTGTGATTCTAGGGATTAAACCCAGGACTGTGCTCATACTAGACCAGTACTCTACCACTGAGCCATAGCCCCAGCCTCCTGGATACAAAATGTTACTCTAAGTATGGAAAGTCTTAAGAAACAGAACAACCCACCTGATCCAGCAAACCTCACTTCTAAGTATTTATCCAAAATGACTGCAGTCAAGATCTGAGACACATTTATCACAGAACTGTTCCCAATAGCCAAGACTTTAACTCTCAATGTTAATGGGTAAAATAGAAGCTGTGATCTCTATATACAATTGTGCATTCTGATGGCGCCTGGCATCAGGAATGGACCAGGAGGACATTACACTAGGTAAAACAGAACAGTCACAGGAGGAATACTGCATGATCCCACTTATCCAAGGGATCCAAATTAGTCAAATTCATATATTCACAGAATAGAATGGTGGTTGCTTGGGCTGGAGGAGGAAATGAGGTTGTGACTCATGGGGTGTAAACTTTCAGCTAAGCAAGACAAATATATTCTAGAGGTTTATTCAACCTGTGCTCAAGGATAAGGTACCATACACTTAAAAACATGTTAGGACACCACATCACATGTTAAGTGTTTTTACAACAGTAAATTAAACAAATGAACAAGTAAACGAGAAAGAAGTAACAGACCAGAATGCTGTGTGATCTTAAACACAAAAGCACCATAATTACAAACTTACTGGAACCTTCCTACATGGCAGTCAATAGCCGATACCCCAGTCATCAGTTCATTCACAAAGCATGCTTGCACATGCCAACCCTCCCCACCCTCCTCCTCCACCTGTGGCTACCAGTGCTCCAGCTTGGAAAATAGTTAAGGGAAACAAGGAGCTTGACCCCACCACCGCCACGACCCTCCAACCAGTCCAACCCACCAAGGATGGCCTCCACACTACACCTGAGATTCCCTGTGCACTGAGCTGGAAGCAGAAACTAGAATGATAGATATCGAAGCCTTGCTATATTTGGGGCTCTCAGATTAAAATATCATCCAGTGGAATTTGTTGAACTAGAGCCAGACCATGTGCAAATTGATTTTACTACATAAACCCGTTGCTGGCCTTAAGACTTTTAAAAAAGAAAGTGCTAATGGTTACCCTTAGCACACTTCATTCTGGAATCTCCCATCACTTCACAGACACCTGCATTTCTATATGATAAAGACAAGGATTTCAGAGCCCCCAAAGAAATCATCCATCTGCTTCAATATCACCCATGTGATATTGGGTGATATTCAATATCACCCAACCTGGATGTCGGCACTGCTCCTTTTTATGGCTGGGAAAAATCTCAGCACTTGGTTTCTTCAAACATCACAGGAAACCCTCACTCCGTGAACTAACCTGTTGCTTTAGAGTTGGGCCAGGGGGGCCTGTGTGCCACAGGGACTGACCAGCATCTGCTTTAATCCCATCTGGCCCCACCCATGTGGGAAGGACAGTTAAGTCCCCTATCCATGTCCTCACCAGAACTCCTACTGGCACATTTAATAGCAGGACAGAAATCTTCTTCTGTCTAAGACCAGCCAAACTCTTAGAACACACTCCTTTGTACCTGTCAAATATTAAGAAGGTCAGTTCTTTCCCATAAAAGAAGGAATTATAGAGTTGGGCAGAGAGAGGGCTTAGTTGGTAAAGTGCTTGCTGTATAAGCCTGAGGACCTGAGTTCAATCCTCCAGAACCCACTAAAAAAGCCAGGCATGGCAGCATGTGTCTGTAATCCTACCACTGCAGAGTTTGAGAGAGGGAGACCCTTTTAAGTCACTGTCCAGCCAACTTAGGTGATCTGCAGTCTCCAAGTTCAGGGTGAGACCCTGTCTCAAAAGCTAAAGTTGTGCTGGGTATGGTGGTGCATGCCTTTAATCCCAGCACTCAGGAGGCAGAGGCAGGTAGATCTCTGTGAGATCCAGGCCAGCCTGGTCTACATAGCAAGTTCCAGACCAGTTGGGGCTCAAGGAGAACTTATCTTAAAAAAAAAACCCAAAAGCCAGGTGTTTTAGCACACGCCTTTAATCCCAGTACTCAGGAGGCAGAGGCAGGCAGCTCTCTGTGATTTCGAGGCCAGCCTGGTCTACATATCGAGTTCCAGGCCAGCTGGGGCTACAGGGTGACCCTGTATGAAAAAAAAAAGACCCACAAAAAACCCCCAAAATATTAATAATAATAATGTGGAGACTAAGGAAGATATTAGACATTAACCTCTTGCCTCCACATATACACACATGCATGTGAACCCGCACATGCACACACACATACGGAAGAAGGGAATTTTAAAGATTTTTTAAAAATTATGTGTATGCATGTGTACACGCCTGTGTGTGGGCATGTGATCATGAATACAGGTGCCTATGGAGGACAGTGGAGAGCGTCAGACCCCCTGGAGCTTAAGTTACAGGCAGTTGTGAGTTTGCTGACATGGGTGCTGGGAATCAAACTTGAGTCCTCTGCAAGAGAACTACAGCTCTTAACTGCTGAGCCATCTCTCCAGCCCCAAGGAGGGAATTTAAGTTATCAGTTCATTCCCTGCACTCACAAACATGTCTGTGTGTGTGTGTGTGTGTGTGTGTGTGTGTGTGTGTGTATGTGTGTGTGTTTGTGTGTATGTGTGTGTGTGTGTGTGTGTCTGTGTGTGTGTGTCTGTGTGTATGTGTGTGTGTGTGTGTGTGTGTGTGTGTGTAGAATAACTATTGACAATGGGCCTAAAAATGTCTTTTCTTAGAAACAAAAGTGTTATAAAACCTCATGATTGGAGAGATGGCTCCTTGGTTAAGAGCATTGGCCACTCTAGTGGAGGACCTGGGTTCAGTTCCCAGCAACCACATGGCAGCTTACTGTCTATAATACTCTAGTTCCAAGGGATGTAGTGCCTCCATCTGGCCTCTGTGGGCATTGTACTACATGGGTGCATTTACATCTATACATAGGCAAAACACTCACACACATAAAAATTTAAAGAAATTTTTAAAGTATTACAAAATGTCTAAGGTTTTAAGGCAGAACCACTAAATTCCATAGCAAGTGTTCTTTCTTAAACATACTCACTTCTGATACATTGTCTCACAAGCAAACACTATGCACTATGTGTGTAATGCCAAATAACTGTGAACAACAAGGGCTTTCAGAAAGAGACATCTCCAGCCCGCGCCATCCTCCAGCAGGGAGTCAGTGACTGGGATAACACTGGCAGGGCCTGGTCCCGAGCTGCAGTCTTATTTTACTTGTGGTCAAAGTGCTGCTGAGCTCTAGTTATTAAGTTATTCCAAAGCTATCTGGACTATTTTCACCCAAAGAAAAAAGAGACCTTTGCAACAGTTTAATGTTATTGCATTTGCAAATTACAGCATACCAAATACAGCTCACAGTCTTGAATTCATCTTTTCAAGTTTTCTCACCTTATATGAAATAACCTCTTAACCAACCCTACTTTCCTCCCTCCACCCCCCAACTCCTCTCCTCAGTTCTTTCTCACTTTGCCGAAAAAAAAAAAAAAAAAAAAAAAAAACCTGCAAGCGGGGGTCGCTCTGTAATAGAAACCTTACACCATCTTCCAAAACTTATTACAGCTGCGTTCAGTATAAAATGAAACCTCAGAGAATGTTATTTAAAATGTTTTTAAAAAGTCAGTAGACCTCGTGTTTCATTTCTCCACATCAGGCTTTGATTTCCTTTGCAACCTTAGTCTCTGCCCTTAAACAAGCTGAAGAATGAGGCCCAAAACGTCTTGGAAAAGGTCCCGGGATGCCAGCATTGCCAAGCACTCCACTCCTCTTTTCCTCCTTCTCAGCCACTCAT